TTTCTTCTTACATGAAACTCTAAAATTCTTAATACTTCAAAAATATAATTTCCTTTACTTTAAATAGAAAAACATAATCTTATCCTTTCATACCAAATATCTTTAACTTTAGAATTAATCTTCATTATTAAAAACTTTTATCTAAATTTACCATAATATTTACAAACTTAAATATAGTCATTTAAAGTTAAACTCCAATTCCAAGTTAATGTTACATTAATTTAAAAAATATAGTTAATTAAGGGACAAATAAAATTTAGTTTACTTTTTTTGAAAAGAAAATTTTCTTTTCCCCCAAACTAGCATTTTTAAATATTTTGCAATTAATTTCATAAAATGTAGCAGGAAAGAAAAGTAATTGAATCTACTAACTACTACAACATCCTATCAAATTTATATACATTCATAATCAGGATAGAATGACTACAGGAGAATGTAAATCTAGCCTAAAACATGCATGCAATAATACTAAACTAAAAGGAAGTATACTTAGCTTTAAAATCTATTTTTCTTCCTACCCTCAAACTTGATTTTTAACATGTATAGCATTTAGTGCAAGAAAATATAAGTAGGAAGAAAAATAGTTTAGAAATTCTATCTACCACAAAAGTTTATCAAAAACATCTCCAATTATTTATCAGGATAGAAAACATGTAGTAGAAAATAAATCTATACTAAAAATGCTAAGATAAAATCAACTAAATAAAAGTCTAACTAGCATAACATGTATCAGGATTGGAATATAAAAATGTTCTTCAAGTCCTATTATTGTAACACAAACATAAACACACATAATAAATGAGGTCAATTCTTCCTTTAACTCAACACATCTCACTAACTTACTTCTAATTTCTAACGAAATCACTACAAAAATATATTGGGTACTTATAAATGATTTAATAGATTCTAATCCCAAAGATGAATTTATCCCTGATATATTGGCTCCTAGGCACCAATCTCAGGCATTATCTAATCCTTTAAATTAAGCACCTCTAATAGTTAGAAGGATAGTGTAAATACATTCACATATTACTCATCAAATAGGTTAGCTACTCCTACCAAATGAAAACAAGATCAAAGAAAGGAATTGTCACTAATAAATTCATAATAAAATTGAGATGGAATTGTCACTAATAAATTCATAATGTCTCTTCTAAAGCTCAAGTTTGGGTTAGACCTCAGTTGTAGTGGACTCGTCAATCCAACTACTACAAGAGAACATACAAGTCTAACCATAATGAGAAGTTAAGAAATAACCTCCCTCATGACACATAACAAGAAAATTAAACCACTAACAATACAAACATCTTCCAATCATCAATCAAACTGATCAATCCGCACTAAAGAAAACACAATACAACACTGACAATCATGACTCTTAAGCATACTAAATCGAACCAAAGTGATAACTATGGGTTGTCTCCCATAATGCGCTTGGTTTAATGTCGCTAGCCGGACAAATGATTCCACCTGGATCAAAATTCCAATTAAGTAATCCTTGATCAATCGCCCAATCTTTTTCAAATCCAGGGATTCATACAAAGTCCTCAAATTTAAATTTTTCTTTCAGCTCTTCCTTTTTAGATTGATTCATGTTCTTGTTCCTCATATTTCTTTCTAGATCCAATATTTTTCTAGTAATTTTCTTAATTTTTATATTAAGATCATCCTTAAATTTTATAAGAAATGGATCTTTATAAACTACTTCATGATATCCCAAATTTTGGATCAGATTCTCTTTAGATAATTCAGATTCTGAATCAAATTCTTCTAGGTTACTCTTGTCTTTCAAGTTATCTTCTAATTCTTCTGGAATTTCCTCCAATGGTCTTTAAATATCCTTATCCTCATCTCTCAACTCAGGTCTTTAAATATCAACTCAAAGTTCTCTCAACTCAAAGTTCTTTTGAAACATATCCTCGAATTATCTTCTAAATATCAGTTCAATAATTTTAAATTGGTCATCATTAATTTCTTTTGAATTTATCTCAGGGTTACTAGGTAAAATCTCTGGGGGGTAATTGTTAATTGCATTAATAATCTGCCCAGCATCAGAATCTCATTCATTTTGTCTGTATACCACGGAATATGTCATTCAGTGACTTTAAATAACTCTTTCATAGGAGATCTCTTACTGATTTTATCATTCAATTTTGGTTCACCTTGTGATTGAGTCGAATCTGAAGATATAAAGACTGGTGGTGTAGATAAATTCTCTATATATGTAAGTTTTAAAATTGTATGAAATGTATTCATTTTGAGTTCATGAGATTTTTCAACAGATGGAATTAAAAGTTTACTATTTTTGGTAATGTTTATCATTTCACACCTCTCCTGAACATACATACAGTCTTCTTTAAACAATATTTTAGACTCATCATGAAAGTCCATTTCGATCTCATCTGTTAACTTACTCTCAAAACGTTTTTGGAAATGGTTTTTTACTTAGATAATCAATTTCATCCATCAAAAAATAATAATCATCTTTTCTCTCAGTTGGATACTTCATAGTCTTTAAACATCAAAAGTGATTTCATGGTCATTGATATTCATAGTTAACTTTCCTTTTTGCACTTTTATCATAGCTTGTCCAGTAAAAAGAATAGTCTCCCCAAAATAATGAGATATTCTTTATCTTCCTCCATATCTAATATAATAAAGTCCATAGAAAAGATAAATTCATCCACTTCAACAAACACGAATTCTATAACCCCTTTTGGATAAATGATAGATCAATCAGCTAACTGAGGTTATAGTAGTGGGACAAATATCGGCTAAACCTAACCTTTTAAATCTAGATAGAGGCATCACATTAATTCTCAATCCTAAATCACATAAAGCTTTTCCATGTAATCTTTCTCCAAATATACAAGGAATTGTTAAGCTAGAAGGATCTTTAAGTTTCTCAGGGTGCTTTTTTTGAAATATAGCGTTGCACTCCTCACTTATTGCAATCAACTCGTAATCCCCAAATTTTCTTTTATTTTTTAATATCTCCTTCATAAATTTTACATAACTTGGCATTTGTTCCAAAGCTTCAGCGAAATGAATATTTATCGTTAACTTCTTAAGTACGTCCATGAACTTTGAAAATTATTTATCCAACTCATGTTGTCTAAATCTCTGAGGAAACGGAGGTGGTGGTATTTTTAAATTGATTTTAGTTGGAGATTTTTATTTTTCCAAATCCTTAGAAACATGTTCTTCGGGTCTTTTATTTTTCTTTGTTTCTCTCATAACTCCTTTCTCTTTTCTGACCACTTTTCTTAGCTCTCTTCCACTTCTTAATCGGACAGCTTTATTTGTTCATCATTTTCTTTTTAGGGTTGATCTTAGTGTTGCTAGAAAGTGTTCCTTGGGCTCTATTGCAAAGTGAATTAGCAATTTATCCAAGTTGATTCTCTATGTTTCTAATCATAGCATTTTGACCTTGCAACTGGTTTCCCATTTGCAATACCACTTCTTCTGTAGACAACTTCTTATCCTCAAATTGTTGGTCATTGTTAGAGTACGGTAAATATGAAGTTCTATAATTTATGTTCCCTTGATTATTCCAACTCCCATTAAGATTTTCATGATTATTTTCCCATTGTTGGTTTCCACCCCAAGTAGTGTGATTCCAGTTAAAATTAGGATGGTTCTTCCAACCTGGGTTGTAAAAGTTGGAATACGAGTTATTTATGGTATTTAAAGTCTCATATGATAAGTTAGAATCAATTATATGCCCTAATGAATTTTCCTCACTTACTGGAGTAAATTGAGGTTGGTTCATTCTAGATTGGTCCAGCTTCCTTGATATTGCAGCAACCTGAGATGCAAGAATTGCAATCGCATCTATATCATGAACACTGGCTACCTTTTTAGCCTTGTAGATGGCCATTGAAATTCATTTGTAGCCATTTCTTAAATTAGCCCATATGCTTCATCAAATGATTTTGACATTAATGATCCACCAGCGAAAGCGTCAATTATAAATTTAAGGGATTCTATTAACTCATTGTAAAAAGTTTGAATGATTAACCAATCGAGCAGAGGATGGTGTGGACACTTTCTTAGTAGTTTCTTAAATCTTTCCCAAGCATCGCATATTGATTCCCCTTTATACTGAAAAAATGAGGTAATATCATTTCTAAGTTTAGTAGTCCTTGATGGTGGAAAATACATAGCTAGGAATTTCTAAGTTAACTCTTCCCAATTTTTAATAGAGCCAGGTGCTAATGAGTATAACCACATTTTAGCTTTATCCATTAGTGAGAAAGAAAAAAGCATTAGTCTAAAAACATCGTCTGACATGCCATTATAACGAAATGTGGCACAAAGTTCTAGAAAATTGGATAAGTGTAAATAGGGATCTTCCGAAGGAGTTCCCTAAGACTTATTATTCTGCACCAGTCGGATAATAGCTGGATTTATTTCAAATGAGTGAGCTTCTACGACAGGGGTTGGTATACTTGGTAAATTTCATGTGTCGTAGGATTTATATAATCCTTCAAAGATTTATGATGCTTTTCTAAGTTATTATTTTGAATTTTTACCATTTCCATTTCTAATTTTTCAAGTCCTTTCTATTTTTTTATTTTTTTTTCTTTTTTCTAACTCAGGATCATAAGGTACAAGTCCTGCGGATCCTTTATTTTACTTACGCAACACAACAAACAATACACTAAAAATTAAACGAATAAAATAAAAGATATATTCAAAACAACAAAATATTTTCACAAACACCTTGTTTTTGACACAAATTGTTTTTTCACAATACTTTTTCATACCAAAAACTCTTTTAAAAAAAAATAGTTTTTACGACACTAGAATTTCCCATGTCTAAGCCTAAATACTTCAACTAAAATTCTCCTAAAGTTCTTACCGAAGCTTCCCCAGGAACGACGCCAAAAACATGATGCGACTTTTTTATATGCTTAATTTTATATATTCTATATAGTCACGATGATATAAACACAAGTATACATATCGCTCAAGTAATATAGGACTTAATATAGGACTTTCTGATTAAGCTTTCTGATTAAGCCACGATTATCGATCCCACGAGGAAGCGAGGAAAGGTTTCCTTAGTCAAATTTCAGTTTACTACTTTTAGTACTTAGTTTGGAATGTCGATTAAAATGGTGTTTTATCTAGCAACTACTCCTAAATGAAAATTTTAAATATAAGGATAGTAACTATTCCTAAATATAATTATTAAATTCTAAAGGTAACCCTTTTTGGATGAGTTGGTTTGGAGAACTTTATGATGTTAAAAAAACTACAATTCTTATGTAGTGAATTGGATAATGCAAGTGAATGAGATACATTAAATATTGTATGTGTCAAATAAAAGCAATTTTAATTCTCTACCCTGATTCAGTGTTATAGAAAGTCATTGGCTAATCTTACGTTTAGTCCCTAAATCCATGGATAGGCTAGGAGGATACTGGCTCCCACTTCCCTTCCCCTAAAGGCTAACTCTCGCTTAAGTTCTTTAAACACTAAGGTCGAATTGGGGATTTTAGTTTGTCACCCTAAAATCTTCAATTCTACGCCCGTCAAAGTATATTTCTCTATTTATTTGCATCCAACCCCCCATGAACTTCACCATCCATGAAATTTGAATGTGGTTCTACTTTGTTGAGAATTACATCGCCCTCTCGAGTCTTAATGCAATTACAATGAATTTTAACACTACAACATACGTTTATTGTAATGTAAATGAAGTGCAAGTAAAAACCATCACATTTATAATTAAAACTTCTTCAAGCATGCTTCCCAAAATCCAAAACATGAATCTTACTCATTGTAAAAGAAAAGTAAAAGGAAAATATTAGCATAATTCTCTCATGTCACTATTTCCTAAGAAGAAGAAAGAGTAAGAGAAACACATCACAAAGCACGAAGAAAACACAAAGAACACAGAAAACACAAAGAAAAACTTCATTACATCAAAGCAAATCCACTAGATAAGTGTTTACAAAATCATAAGAAAATGAAGAGCATAATACTTAGCTTTTTGCTCTTGAAAGAAAGATGAAAATCTCTCCCACAAAGTCTCTCGCTGATCCTTGCTCGCTGATCCTTGTTCCTTACGCGCTGATCCTTGTATTGCTAGAACATTTCCTTACAAATTCTCTCAAAATCCCCTCACCAATCTCTCCCAAAAACCAAAAAAAGGTAGAAATATACATTTCTACTTCTATTCTAAGATCACTAAACATTCTCCACATTTTCTCACTCACACACACACTCTCTCACACACACACGCGCATGTAAATGAGAGGTGCCAAGCCCTTTTTTTTTTGAAGAGACACAAATTCCCTCTTTTTTTTGAAGAGACAAATCTATTCATCCAAAAGACATGTCTCTTCATTCAAGAGCCTTATCCAAGTGTCTAGATTCATTGAATTGCTTCATGGGGTGTTTGAATCACTTGGGAGCCTTTTAGAACATCAAAAATCGCCAAAAATTGATCCATGACCGTGCCGAGCGCCGTTGGCGCCATTTTGGTCATTGTTGGCGTCATTTTCTCGTTGTTTTTCTGCTCTTTAGCTCTGCCGGCATCATCTCTGGCACTGGCGGCGCCCACCCTACGCAGCTCCACCATTTTGCTTCATTTGGCTCCGTTTTAGCTCTGTTTCGCCCCGTTTCTGTTGCGTTACGTTCCTAACAGATAGACCTACAAAATAAGCATAAAAATAACCTTTATTTAAAGTGTAATTTCATTTAAAAATGTGTTAGAAGTTTAAAAGAGATTAAGCATAGAAATACATTTAAGCATAGAAATTTAAGCATAGAAATACATATCAAAATGTGTCAGGATAAAATTTTCTTTCTTGCTCATTTTTGCTCCAAATTACATCGTTTTTGCTTCTTTTTCTCCAAAACTCCATTTTCTGTACCTAAAACAAAAAAATATACAAAATACCTTCCTTTAAGGTGCATTATCATTGAAAATCCCCAAATATAGGCAGTAAAAGCATATGGAAAATTGCACATTTTTTAGGCGTATCAAAATCTACCAAACTTAAATATTTCTTCTCCTCAAGTAACCCTTTTTACTAAAAAATATGACTTAGGATAGAGACTAACTTATAAACTTCTATACTTTAGTTTAGTAAATAAAATAGTAAAATTTAGGAAAAACCTTTAATAACTTAGATTGAAACTCTAAGTCTAAGAATACATAGTAATCAATTTTAAGATTTTTGAATTTCTATTCAGTTCAAGAAGAATTGCAATTTGTTATATCAAGGATATTTATAACATTCATTTGAAAATGAACTTCATGAAAATTTTACTAGTAATGCTACTAATACTTCAATACAAGTTTAGAAAATGTAGAAAAGTCTTTTCCTTAAGTTGATTCAAGTAAAGCCAAATTTTGATTAAGCATCTCCTCAAGCTTCTCCTCACTCGTTTTTCTTTTCTTTCTCTCCGCTTTTTTTCTCTTCTCCTTTCTCTTTTCTCTATTTTTTTTATTTTCTTCAGGATCTTTTCAATCCTTTCTTTTCTTTGTTTTTCAAGTAAGGATTACTTTATCTGAATAGTCTTTAATAATTTTGAACTTCACTATCCTCTTCTTAAAGTCCAAACATTTTACCTTCGTGCACTTTAGAAATTCATAATAGTTTTGATGATTTTTCATAAAGTCTCATTCTTTTCTTCTTACATAAAACTCTAAAATTCTTAATACTTTAAAAATAAAATTTCCTTTACTTTAAATAGAAAAACATAGTCTTATTTTACCATACCAAACATCTTTAACTTAAAAATTGACCTTTATTACTAAAAACTTTTACCTAAATTTACCATAATATTTACATATATACGTATAGTCATTTAAAGATAAATCCTAATATTTCAGGTCATGTTAAATTAATTTTTAAAATATAGTTAATTGAGGATAAATAGAAGTTAGTTTACTTCTTTTTAAAAGATTTTTTTTTTCACCCAAACTTAATTTTGTAAGTAATTTAAAAATGTGTTAGCACAAAATTTAGTAGGTGAAAGAAAGTAGTAAATGCATAAAACTAAAACTAACCTGTAGAGGATTTTTGAGTATGGAACTGGGCTCTGGCATATTGCAGGTACTAACTTTAAAAATGCATAAAGCTTAAAGCATTAAATGAAACTAAAACTGAAAATACTAATAAACAGTTTTTTATTTTTTAAAGGATTTTTTGAAGATTAAAAACAAAAACAAAAATTGAAAATACTAAAAATGCATAAAAAATTATTTATCAGGATAGAAAACATGTAGTAGAAAGTAAATCTAAACTAAACATGCCAGAATGAAATTAACTAAATAAAAGTCTAACTAGCATAACATGTATCAGGATTGGAATATAAAAATGTTCTTCAAGTCCTAATATTGTAACACAAACACAAACACACATAATAAATGAGGTCAATTCTTCCTTTAACTCATCACATTCACTAGCTTACTTCTAATTTCTAACGGAATTACTACACAAATATATTGGGTACTTATAAATGATTTAATAGATTCTAATCCCAAAGATAAAATTATCCCTGATATATTGGCTCCTAGGCACAAATCTCAGGCATCATCTAATTCTTTAAATTAAGCACCTCTACTAGTTATAAGAATAGTGTAAATTCATTCACATATTACTCATCAAATAGGTTAGCTACTCCTACCAAATGAAAACAAGGTCAAAGAAAGGAAGTAATAAAATTGACATGGAATTGTCACTAATAAATTCATAAAGTCTCTTCTAAAACTCAAGTCTGGGTTAGACCCAAGTTGTAGTGGACTCGTCAATCCAATTACTACAAGAGAACATACAAGTCTAACCATAATGAGAAGTTAAGAAATCACCTCCCTCATGACACATAAAAAGCAAATCAAACCACTAAAAGCCCAAACATCTTCCAATCATCAATCAAACTGATCAATCCGTACTAAAGAAAACACAATACAACACTAACAATCATGACTCTTAAGCATACAAAATCAAACTACACTGATAACAATGGGTTGTCTCATATAATGTGCTTGGTTTAACGTCGCTAGCCCGACAAATGATTCCACCGGAATCAAAATTCTTATTAAGTAATCCTTGATCAATTGCCCAATATTTTCCAGATCCAGGGATTCCTACAAAGTCCTTAAATTTAAAATTTTCTTTCAGCTCTTCCTTTTCAGATTGATTCATATCCTTGTTCCTCATATTTCTTTCTAGATCCAATATTTTTCTAGTAATTTTCTCAATTTTTATATTAATATCATCCTTAAATTTTAATTGAAATGGATCTTTATAAGCTACTTCATGATCTCTCAAATTTTGGATCAGATTTTGAATCAAATTTTTCTAGGTTACTCTTGTCTTTCAAGTTATCTTCTAATTCTTCTGGAATTTCTTCCAATGGTCTTTTGGTCTTTCAATATCCTTATCCCTCATCTCTCAAGTCAAAGTTCTTTTGAAACATATGCTTGAATTCTCTTCTAAGTATCAGTTCAATAATTTTAAATTGCTCATCATTCATTTCTTTAGAATTTATCTCAGGGTTACTAGTTAAAATCTCTGGGGGGTAATTGTTAATTGCATTATTAATCTACCCCAGCATCAGAATCTCATTCATTTTGTCTGTACATCATGGAATATCTCATTCAGTGACTTTAGAAACTCTTTCATAGCAGATCTTTTACTGATTTTATCATTCAATTCTGGTTCATCTTGTGATTGAGTTGAATATGAAGATATAAAGACAGGTGGTGTAGATAAATTCTCTATATATGTAGGTTTTAAAATTGTATGGAATATATTCATTTTGAGTTCATGAGATTTTTCAATAGATGTAATTAAAAGTTTATTATTTTTGGTAACGTCTACCATTTCACACCTCTCCTAAACATACATACAGTCTTCTTTAAACAACATTTTAGACTCATCATGAAAGTCCATTATGATCTCATTTGTCTCAAAAAATTTTTGGAAGTGGTTTTTACTTAGATAATCAATTTAATTCATCCAAAAATAATCATCATCTTTTCTCTCAGTTGGATACTTCATAGTCTTTAAAACATCAAGAGTGGTTTCATGGTCATTAATATTCATAATTAACTTTTCTTTTTGCACTTCTATCATAGCTTGTCCAGTAACAAGAAAAGTCTCTCCAAAATAATGGGATATTCTTTATCTTCCTCTATATCTAATATAATAAATTCCATAGGAAAGATAAATTTATCCACTTTAACAAACACGACTTCTATAACCCCTTTTAGATAAATGATAGATCAATCAGCTAACTGAAGGGTTATAGTAGTGGGAGAAATATTGGCTAAACCTAACCTTGTAAATCTAGATAAAGGCATCACATTAATGCTCGATCCTAAATCACATAAAGCTTTTCCACATAATCTTTCTCCAAATATATCCAAATATTCTTTCTCCAAATATACAAGGAATTGTTAAGCTAGAAGGATCTTTAAGTTTCTCAGGGTGCTTTTTTTGAAATATAGCGTTGCACTCTTCATTCAGTGCAATGGTCTCATAATCCCCAAATTTTCTTTTCTTTTTTAATATCTCCTTTTTTTTAATATCTCCTTCATACATAAATTTTGCGTAACTTGACATTTGTTCCAAAGCTTCAGCAAAAGGAATATTTATCGTTAACTTCTTAAGTACATCCATGAACTTTGAAAATTGTTTATCCAACTCAAGTTGTCTAAATCTTTGAGGAAACGAAGGTGGTGGTCTTTTTAAATTGATTTTAGTTGGAGATTTTGATTTTTCTAGATCCTTAAAAACATGTTCTTCGGGTCTTTTATTTTTCTTTGTTTCTCTCACAACTCCTTTCTCTTTTTTAACCACTTCCCTTATCTCTCTTCCACTTCTTAATTGGACAGCTTCTATTTGTTCATCGTTTTCTCTTTAGGGTTGATCTCAGTGTTGCTAGAAAGTGTTCCTTGGGCTTTATTGCAAAGTGAATTAGCAATTTGTCCAAGTTGATTCTCTATGTTTCTAATCATAGCATTTTGACCTTGAAACTGGTTTCCTATTTGCAATACCACTTCTTCTGTAGACAACTTCTTATCCTAAAATTTTTGGTCATTGTTAGAGTATGGTGAAGATGAAGTTCTATAATTTGTGTTCTCCTGATTATTCTAACTCCCATTAGGATTTGCATGATTATTTTCCCATTTTTGGTTTCCATCCTAAGTAGTGTGATTCCAGTTAAAATTACAATGGTTCTTCCAAACTAGGTTGTAAAAGTTAGAATAAAAGTTATTTATGGCATTTAAAGTCTCATATGATAAGTTAAAATCAATCATATGCCCTAATGAATTTTCCTCACTAGAGTTAATTGAGGTTGGTTCATTCCAGATTAGTCCAACTTCCTTAATCTTGCAGCAACCTGAGATGCAAGAATTGCAATCGCATCTGTATCCATCAATTGCAATCGCATCTGTATCATAAACACTAGCTACCTTTTTAGGATTTACCCTTGTAGAGGGCCATTGAAATTCATTTGTAGCCATTTCTTCATTTAACCCATATGCCTCATTAAATGATTTTGACATTAATGATCCACCAGGGGCAGCGTCAATTATAAACCTAAGGGATTCTACTAACCCAT